GCCCGCAGCCCCCGAGCGCCGGGCAGGGCGGCGGCGCCCGCTCGCGGGGCGCCCGGGCCGCCATTTTCCCGCCGCGCGGGGGGCCCCGGCCGTAGCCGCTGCCGCAACGGCCACGGCCGGCCTCGGAGCAGCGGCTCTGCGGCCGCACCAACGGCCGCTCCTCCGTTGGGTCCCTGAGGAAAATGTACCCGGGGGTTGTGTCGGCCGCCTTCGCGGCAGCCTCTCAACAGCCATCGGGGGGATGGCAACGTTTAAGAGGGGTGCTGGAGGCCGCCGGGGTCACTGCCTTGCAGATCCTTCCTCCATGTCAGGCCTCGTGGGCTAGACCTTGGCTGCTGCGCTAGTGACACGATGGGCTTGGGCTGGTAGCGTCTCTTTGCCCCTAGCATCTCCAAACACATCGCTCGGACTACCTGGCAGATGCCACAACTTCCCCCACACCGCTCCTAGGAGTTTGTTATGAGTTAGTAGCCGGCTGCTTTCCAGACCTTGGGTTTCATGGACACATAGGGATTTGGTGCTTTGGATTGAGTGGCAGCTGACGTTTGAGCGCTGTAAACCTGGGAAAACCAAGGCAGCAAGGAGGCATTTACAGGCTTTCAAGGGAAAGGCCTCTGCCTAAATAGAGGTTGTTAGCACAGCACATCTTTCAGTCAAGTGCCTGCCGTGCCATCTAATGGGGAGGGAAATACTGCCTCTCGGGGCTGCTAAAATCACCCAAAGCAGCGTCATAAAGTCAATACCTCGTTCCCAGGAAAGGCAGCAAAGGAAAAATCTGGGGTTTCGTATTCTTGCCCTAGCAAGGATCCGGTTAAACAGCTATGACTTTATCACCCCAAACTCCAGGGTTCTTTCTATCAACATCTAATACTTCCCTTTCTGTTCCCTTTCTGTGAAGATCCAGAACTTCCCTTGGATTAGTTCTGAATGAAGTTTGGGGGAAAAAAATTGGGTGAAGGAAGGAAAGCAAGAAAAAAAATAGTTTAATATGTCCTGATCATAAGGTAGCAATAAAATAATAGCTAAATAATAGCATTTTATCTTCACAGTATTGTTTGGCTAGAGATCACAAACAGATAACTTTTTTCTGTAAAATATAAGCATGAAAATCTCGGTGCAGTCTTGGTGCTTGAAAGAAGGAAAATATTCTCTCCTCCATAGTGTATTGCCACACTCTGGCAAAAAGAATATTAACAAGATGATGTCTAACAAATAAAAAAACGTGAGGCATATAATTGCCCTAAAAATACTGCTTTTGTTCCTACTTTACACACTTGCGCTGTCTACAGCATTAGAGATGTTTTCTGTGGACAAAATCAGAAAAGAAATTGAGTAATGCATTTTGGCCAACCACAGACAAAAAGCATTTTGAGCAGAATAAATATTTTCATTCTTCCCTAGCAAACCTGTACTTTTGGTGAAAATGCTATTTACCCACAGAAAAATAAAACAGAACTTACTCAGACATCTGTATTAAAAACAAACTGAAACTATTCAATCTCTAGAGTGATTCAAAATGCAGTTAGCTAGGACTCATAAAAAGTACAAATTATTAAAATGTGCACAACTGTATCCCAGATTTAATTCTGCCACTCTGCTCACGTCTAGCTGAGCAGAGAAACGAATCAGAGCCCCAGTGCTACTGGGTAAAAAGAGCAAAGGGAATGACTGTTATTCTTTGTCCAAATGATTGAGATGAAGGAAATAGAAATAGAACTAATAAAAAACTTATATTTTTTTCATTTAAATATTATATATATATTTTTATATAATCATATATTTTACCCCTCCCTTAGTAACATAGAGAGGTATTATTTGTTTAATGCAAGCTTTTTGGTCTTGTGCACTGAGACACAAGGTTGGGAGATATTTTGCTTTTTAATTTTAAAATCAATAATATATTCCTAAGCTTTTCCTCCCATTTTTTTCTGAGTATATTTCAGCATCAAGCCCCCAGGCAGTTCACTGCAGTTCATAGCAGTCCTGGCCTGGCTAGTGCAATGGCTGTAGCTCTCTTCCTGCCTACAAGGAGCCAGATGGATGAACACAGTGAAGAGGCAGAGCTTTTGTCACAGAGAGCTGAAGGTGGCTGGTTCCGCTCTGCTCTCACACGGGTGGAAATCATGGATGCACCAGCTCAAGTTCAAGCCCGAGTCTTTTGCCCTTACGGTCAAGTCTGTTTCTACATGATGCTTTCAGGCTCTTCCCTTTCCCTCTGTCAGTGAACCCTGAAGAGAAGTGCGCTAGTGCTTTATTTTGAGGATATCAGTAGAATAAGCTGAAGGTAAGAATGAACTGCTAAGCATAGCTCTTGCTTGGCCTTAAGTATTTTAATGACAATTTACAGTCATTGAGAAGCTGTAGCGATCAACGAGCCATAATGTCTTTCCATCAAATAGAAATGCTGAAATTCAGCTGAGAGGTCTCTGCTGCCCTCCATTTCAGTGAGAACTAGAGTACTGAGCTTTATTCTCATCCCCATTAGCTTGGTCCCAAGTAAGATCCATGACCAGGAAGGCTGGTTGTTCTGGACATGGTTCATAAGCAGCCCTGCTTTGGGGAAAAAACATGGTATTGAAAGATACTTGTAAAAAGAAGCACAGAGAAAAGCAGTGAGAACACTGAACAAAAAGCATTTCAAGCAACCAAGAAAAGGATGTTCCTAGCCACTCATGAGAAAGCAAGCATGGAGGAACAATTATAGTGGTACTCCTGTTTCCCTGTAAAGGTCTCCCTAGGCCTTTTCTCCAGTTTCCCGTTGCTGTTTGCTTGCTGCAACTGCACGACCTGCACAGCCGTCCGAAGCCTTTCTGGTTCACGGCGTGTGCGCGGCGAGCGATGCGTGTCCTTCCCGGGCGCCTCTGCATTTCCCTCTCTGCCCCTCCGGGTGGAGCTGATACTCTGCTCTCTTACTTGGCACTGGGGCTGTGTCAGAGAAAGCTTTGCTGAGGAGATCAAAGCAAAGACCTTTTCCTGAGGTTATAGAATAACACCTCCCGTTTCCCTTGCCCTTACCCAAAGCACATGCAAACAACAGAGCTGCATCCCTTCAAAAACCCAATTACTGACTGCTTTCATTTATGGGATCTTCTATTCCTACCACATCCCTTGGTACCCAGCCTGTGCCTCATTTCAGCCCTCTCACCTTCCAAAATAATGGGACTGTTCCTCTTCAACATCCCACTTACTTTCTAATGTGCAAATGTTAGCAGAGCTATTGCACTGGGATGAGATTTTAGGCAGTATGAAAATGCTATCAGACGTTTGCAAGGTAAATTGATATTTTCTGATTGCACCAGACTAAAATAACTTGTTTTAGACTGTTCCCTCAATTCTGTGAGTGTTTCCTGCTCCAGTGTCTGTGTAAAGCTTGGATTTGTTATTTAAGGGAGAAGAGTGGTGGTTGGTATTTAGTGTATAATGGCAAGCAACCCTTATTCCAAACTGCAATAAATACTGCTCTTTTTGTGTTCTGGCCAAATGTTGTAAACAATTATTCACACAGTTTGTATAGCTTTAGCCAGTAGTAGTCGATGCATCCATAAAGCACAGTAAGTTTAATATAATCCTTAAAGTGATTGACCTTGAGTATAACTGAGCCCAAGGAAGTCTGGCATCAGAAAACAGTTTCCAGCCCAGACTATTGCAGCGTTTATTACTGGACAGCATCAGAGCCTAGGAGAGCCACTATAAAATATACTTGCTCCAAGCTGAGATGTCAGCTGCAAACGATAGGTGTAAGGGTGTAGAGGAACAGAATCATAAACACACATAAACAAACATTATTGGAGCTAGATGTGTCCAGCAGCCTCTCCAAACCCTTCCATAAGAAAGGAGGGCTTTCCAGCAGGCTGTGGTGAACTCCTGCACTGCTCTAGGATTTGTCCTTGCTAGTCAAAGCAACCTGCACTGAAGATATGGGGCTAATCACAGGGGCCGGGGCTACCCCAAAGACGAGGGACACGCTGGGTTGATGCTGGTTTTGCATTGGGGCCGTCACACCAAGAGCACAGGGGCTGGAGGGGCCCTCCTTCATCATATACTCTTTAAAGCAGCATGTCTGGCACTGCATACCCCAGTGCTCATACGTGTATGGAGACTTCAAGCAAGTCTTGTAAGCAAGTAGGCACTGGCAGCACTAACGTTACTAGTGGAGCTCCTTTTCCTTGAGGATTCTGATGGATTCCGACCTTGTATTTGACATTTGCTGCAATTTCCATCTGTGCAGGGCGGGCAGGAAGCCATCACTCCTGCTTTAGTATTGTTTAAGAATGCCTGTTCTGGAGAAGGTCGTGTCCCATATAGGGAGGGACATAATAAATTTGTTCTCGCAAGAAGTAATCCCTCCAGACCAGGATGAAGCGTGCGGAAGAAAAGTGAAGGAAAGGAAGGAGCATGTTGATGTTGCTGCTACTATTTTCCCTGTAACAAATGATCCTTAACTATCGTTACAAAGAAACATCAGGTTGTGTGAAGCATCAGAAAGTCCTTCACTGCTCCGAGACTAGCTAAGAATTAACAGGAGATCTTAGGTTACATGATTTGTTCTGTTCTCCACCTTG